CAAAGAGAGACACATTTCTCCAGTTATTTTCTTTTTAATCTTTTGGTTAGAAGAATACGGCACTGTAAAAAAAAGTGATTGTTGTTCTAGCTATCATGAGTACAATAGTATTGTATTAGAGCTGTGCAAATTATTTGGAGGAGCATTTTACAAAATTATCAAAATGTTCCTTTGAAGCTAGTGCTCAAGATGCCAAGGCACTACAGCCTATCAGAGGTTTGCCAGAAAGTTCAATCCATGATTTCTGGATATGTGATCACATACATACAGCTGAATTTAATTACTGTCAGGAATGTGGTTTAAGGCACCAGGGTAGAAACCAGGAGACTGAATTGTAATCCTGGTTTAGGCATGAAAGCCAGCTAGGTGATTTTAGGCCAGTCACTCTCTTAATCTCTGTCTCTTGATTTCTAGTCTGGTGCCTTAACCATTAGGCCAAACTGGCTCAATTGTCATCTAATTTTAGGATAAATTTGAAGATTTTTGCTCGGGGACTAATTACAGAATTTTAGGTAAAACAAAAAAAAAGTGGTATCTGCTAAGATTAGCAACATTTCTGTATCTGATTTCTGTTCATTCCAAGTTATAATTTTGCATATTGTCTTCTATTTGAAACTTAGTTGAGAAGGGTGATGTATAAAATTGATAAAAAAACATATTCAAGCATATCTATTCTAACCAGCAGTGTTATTCAGAATGCAAGTAGAAATAGATGAACTGTAGAAATATAACAAAAGTTTATATAAAATATATAAATTCTAGTGCAGATCTTAATTCATAAGTTTATTTTGTCAAGCATATATAAGATAACAGGTAAAAGTATAAACATAATTTGAATACATAAAAGAGTAAGTAAAAAGGAATATTAGGACAGGGACGGTAGGCACGCTGGTGCACTTATGCACGCCCCTTACAGACCTCTTAGGAATGGGGTGAGGTCAACAGTAGACAGTTTAAGGTTAAAGTTTTGGGGGTTTGGGGAAGAAACTACAGAGTCAGGTAGTGCATTTCAGGCATTGACCACTCTGTTACTGAAGTCATATTTTCTGCAATCGAGTTTGGAACGGTTTACCTTGAGTTTGTATCTATTATTTGCTTGTGTATTATTGTGGTTGAAGCTGAAGTAGTCATTGACAGGTAGGACATTGTGGCAGATAATTTTATATACTATGCTTAGGTCAGACTGAAGTCGGTGTAATTCTAAGTTGTCTAGATAATAGATCACACTGTATCAAACATTCTTCTATTTTTCTCAGATAGTAACTCAGAAAGAAAAATCTGAAAGCCAGAGATTTTATTATCGTAATTAGATCATTAAGAAATGGTTCTTAATGAACCATTTAGAAAGTTAATATACAGCCTGATTCTGTCCACTTGCTCTGAAATTACAGTTTCAGTAGCAATAGGCTACTTCTACTCACATAGTTAAGAGTAACCTTGTTGAAGTTATTGAATTTATATCAGAATTCACATTTTTACTATTGTTCACTTATACATTCTGTCCTTTGGATAAAATAATTCCAAGACTGTGCAAAATATAAAATATACTGTGCATCATTGCCAAAAACATATAAAGAGGCTTTTAAAAAAAACACATAAAAGACAAGATAGGTACAATCTGAAGAAGACTCAGAGCAACATTATAGTCCAAACAACTGTAAAAAGGAGCTGTTTTTATCTCAAAATATTGTCAACTGGGGCCTCTCTCAAATTTTCCATTATGTGCCATTCCCATTGGAAGGGATCACAAGTAGAGCTTAATCAGTCTTAAAACTCGAGTTTAACATTACTGGGGAAAGCATTCATTATACATTCTTGGTTTTTAAATTGTGAAAGGATTTACACACAAATACTACATTGGGTTTATAGGTAACCAGTGTAGTTACCTATAACTACAATTTAGTTGTAGCAATACTTTGAGGATCACCTGGCGCTGTTTTATTTAAGAGCTGTAGTTCCTGTTCAACAATGTTCAGCATGCTGCCATACAGAACAAATGCATTAGACTCCATTATGATAATCACTGAATCAGTGGTGGGTTTCAAAAATTTTACTACCAGTTCTGTGGGTGTGGCTTGGTGGGTGTGGCATGACTTGAGTGGGCGTGGCAAGGGAAGGATACTGTAAAATCTTCATTCTCTCCCCAATCCAGGGAAAGGTTATTGCAAAATCCCCATTTCCTCCCAATCAGCTGGGATTTGGGAAGCAGAGAATAGATGGGGGTGGGGACAGTCAGAATTTTTACTACCAGTTCTCCGAACTACTCAAAATTTCCACTACTAGTTCTCCAGAACTGGTCAGAACCTGCTGAAACCCACCTCTGCACTGAATGCATCTTAAAGGTTAGATTATATTCTCAGGATGTGTCTTGTTTTTACATACGGAGTAATTTTTCTGCATGCATATCAACTGGGATAATTAGCTCAGATATGGACACAGCTCAGATATACTCACAGGAACAGATGATAAAATAATTTTAAAAATATATAATTACTTACTTAGTATTGAACTAGAAGAACAGGTAAAAGAAACAATGATAGCCTGGGTGAAAAATTTTGGATATTCAATTGAACTAGATAAATGGCAGCAGCTATGGGAAAGGAATTACAAATTAACAATATCCATAGCATATAAAGAGAACCAATATAAAATGTTTTATAGGTGGCATATGCCACCTGAAAAATTGGCGAAAATGTTTAAAGATAAATCAGGTAAATGTTGGCAATGTGATCAGATACCAGGATTGTATTATCATATGTGGTGGACATGTCCAGAAGCGAGAAATTATTGGACTAGAATTAAAACATGGTTAGAAGAAATGCTACAACAATATATAGAATTAAAACCTGACCTGTTCCTATTGGGTATCCTACCAGAGAAAATCAGTAAAGATATGCTATTATTTGAAGAGCTGACAAATTTTAAAATATATAGGCCCCCCCCAAAAATACATAGGTCCCAAAACTGATAATCTGACAAAAAGGATATACATATTTAACTTAGTTCTATATCTATATCTGAGAGCCAGCAATATGATTCATTACGAGCAGACATTTATACCAAGGGTGGGTTCTACTTACCTTTACTATTGGTTCGCAGTGGGGCCGCATGCGCGCGCTCACTTCACTCGCGCACACGCACGCTCTTCTGCTCATGCGCAGAAGCTTCTGCATATGCGCAGAAGCATTTTGATGACGTCAGGGTTGGTAGATGGAGCCTCCCGCCGGTTTTATTACCGGTTCTATTGAACTGGGGGCAACCCACCACTGATTTATACACACATTGACAGGTGTTCCATGGATATAACAATGCTGTCAACAAATAGCCACAGTTGGCAACATCTAGAAGTGTCTGCCAAAATATGTAAAATGGTATTACTTAGCTTTCTTCCTAAAATAATAGAATTACTAAAAAGTATGGTTTTGTACACCTTTATTTATAGAAGCTTCAGAAAATCTTTAAATTGCTCATGTGAAACCAGCAATATACAGCAGGCCTGTCAAACTGGCAGCCCATGGGCCAGATATGGCCCACACACGCCATGCCCATCCTGGCTCCATAAAGGCAAAAAACATCACGATACGTCACAATATACACCACGAAGCAAGTGGGTTTTACACCTCTGATATACAGTATCTCCCAATCTTTATTAACTGGAGATCTTTGCATTTTAAAAAATCACTGGACACATGTTTTATAACAGATATAGTGATTTTCCAGAAGAATGGGGAATCAGTATTTATTAGGAAGTTGCATAATATTTGAATGATATTTTATAATGAATGGTTTAGGCATTACAGGAGCCAATATGTTCTTGGAAATGAGGTATGTTGTTTTTCCTGCAGTCGAAGTCAAAGGCCCATAAAGACCCATGATAAGTGAACAGTGGTGAAGGGTTGTGCCTGCAGCAAATTCAACTGGCTAACAAGAGATCATGAATGAGGTGTCATAGTCTGGCTGGACACCAAACCATAACAGGAAAAAACAAAAAAAAATGTTCTTAAAATTGGAAAAGTCAAATGCAACAGTGTTGGTCAAATTTATTCTACAATTGTCAACATCTGAGATTTATTTTCCACAGACAGACTGGTAGCTTGAAAACAGCTTTGTAATAATTAGATTTATTTTTTTTTATAACCAACCTAATATCCTTTTCAGTTATTATTCCAGTAGCGACATATGGCCAACTAGTATTTTTAAAAGGTCATGTTACATTTTAACTATTACATGTGGACTCAGCAGATCTAAAATGATGCAAAATATTACTTTTTTTATTGCCATGCTTTTAAGTATAATTTTCATAGTAACTTCATTATAGTCCGTGTATAACAATGTAAAAAGCATAAAATATATAAAGCTCAGCTACTAAATATATGGTGTATTAATAGTTAATAAGTATATCCTTAATAACATTATAACAAACATTATAATTGGATAATGAATGTATTTGTCATTAGCCAAAGAAAAACCATTTTTATCCAATTGTGGGCAATTTATCTCATTTTGGGAAGCTCTGTGCTAAACTTTCCACCCACATATTTACATGGGGAAGATAAGATACTCTTAGTAGATACTGATTGGTGCTATTGAACATCAAGTCAAAGGGCTATATTTTGTATGTTTAATGAAAACGCAAATCACTTAATTAGGCACTTTTTAATGATATGGCAACTCATCCTGCTATTCAGAAAATGATAATTACAAATGTTGGATGATAGTTACTATCATAGTATGATATTAGTTTTGAATAGCAAAAACAGTAGAAGCTTTTACATAAATAAATAAATGCTCAAAAACAAATCCTTCTCAAAAGCACATTTTGTACAATCACCAGTGAAGTAACCAATGTACTTTATCAATCTCCCCACTACACATTTCTTGCCTCTACTGGCAAGGAATGATTTAAAGTTTTGACCATGTTTCAAGTAACATATAGAGAGAATTCATTTGGGAAATTGTTTTGTCTATATGACAAAATTTGAAGGTGTTGTCTAACTTACCAAACCTCTTATAACCAAAGGACTGAACTTCTTCCTCTTCGGCAAAATCGTCTGTTAAAAAAAAAAGTTATGAATATCAATACTGTATAAATGTCAATATAAGAAAGATTAGGATACATAATTTAGATATTGCTATGTATTATAAATATATATAAAAATACATCCAGAGCTACTAAAAATTTCACATAGCAACTGCATTTAAATGTAACATTTGATACAAAGTAGTATGAAAAATATTAACGTTAATCCCCTCTTTTAATGCTATTTATTTCCTGGCTGGTTGTTTTAATCGGGAAGCTCTGTTTGTCTGATACACAAATATATCATCTGGTCACAGTCAGCAGTCTGTGTATGGAAATTATTGGGTGGTCCAATATGTAGTGTAATAGAACAGTCCAGGTTTTCTTACAAAACAACGTTTTAAAAAGAAAACTACATTTGGCTTAAAAGAGATTGTTGTTGCCAACTACAGTAACACTAACAAAGAAAAATATTTAACCCCATCCTGGTTTGGATGAGGAGAAAAGGATCCCAGATTAACAACAGAGAAGACCTCCTAGTAAGATATTTGGAAGTTTCTCATTCATTCACAGACATTCTTCTATAGTTTTTTTTTTAAAAATAGGTGCAAATAAAATTATGGCCAATAAAATTGCCAAGTTTCCATTTTACTGCTTTTGCCACTATTTATTAATATCTACATCTGATAGGCATTATGCAAGATTCATGACTCTGTTTGGAGATTTGCACGGGAAGTTTGGAGAAAAATGTAAAATGATCTGAAGAACTGCCTTAAAATACAGAACCAAAAAATGTAAACTAATTTAACTACAAAGAAGGAAAGCCCACCTACAGCAAAGCCAGAGTAAAAGAAAAAAAGATTGGGGTCTTATTTCCTTTAATGATTTGTTCACACATGTATACATGAATACCTATCAATACTGAAATCCTACTCTTTACTTGAATCACCCCAAGCAGATTGCAGTGGTTTAAAACTTCTTTTACTAATGTGTTCCCCTCCAGATGCATTGGGGCACAATTCTCATAAATGCAGTCACTGGGTCAAAGCACAACTGGGAATCCTAAGGGCTACAATTTCAACACAAGTGGACATGTATGAAATGGAGTTGATTCAGTGGTGAAATTCAGCCGGTTCTATCTGGCTTGGGTGAACCGGTAGCGCCGGCAGCAGGAGGCTCCGCCCAGCCACCCGGACGTTATCACATCCCGTTTTTTACTGTCTGCGCATGCACAGAAGTCTCTGTGCATGTGTGGAGGTGGCAGGTGCGCACTCGCTCACATTTCCGAACCGGTAGTGAAGGTAAGTAAATTTCACCCCTGAATTGATTGTGTAGATTGGCTTCTATGGACCCTCAGGCTGCCTAAAAATTAGATAGGTGGGCTACCATAAGAGATGAAGAGAAAGGGGTAGGAGGAGGGAAGAGGGGGAAAGGGGGAAAGGGGGAAAGGAAAGGGAAAGGGAAGGGAAGGGAAGGAAAGGAAAGGAAAGGAAAGGAAAGGAAAGGAAAGGAAAGGAAAGGAAAGGAAAGGAAAAGGGTTTGCATCAGACAGACAATTTTCTATTCAGTAGCTTTATCAATTGATTAATGGTTCCAGGATATTTTTCTGTCCCCCATCCCATTTGAAAATTTCCACCATAGATTATAAAAATATATCCATAATATGAAAGGTAGTTTTGTGTAATGGTTAAAGGTACCAGGCTAGGGACTAGGCTTAGTCCTGCCTTAGGCATGAAGCCATCTGGATGATTTTGAGCCAGTAACTAACTATGAGAAGACGACAATGGCCAACTACTTCTGACAAAGAGTGCCAAGAAAACTACATGGACTTACCAATATAATTGCCAGGATTCACGAATTGAGAAATATAAATAAATAAAGGAAAACAATTTTAATTTAAGCTAAATGTGGTGAGAAAAGAATAACTAGGAAAGGAAATGGAGAAAAACCATGACCCAATGGGGAATTTCTTCCAATGGGCTGGCAGCATTATATAAAAGCAAGACTTCCAAGTGTCAGTCCCTGCCATGAGCTCCCCAAAATGTGGAACAATCAACTGCTTTTCCTCGCATGATACCAACAACCAGACCCACTTTTGTAATCAGATGTGATCTTGAGATTGATAGTCTAAGGCTTGAGGGAATATATCTTTAATTATGGCAAACTCTTATGATGATTTTTAATTAAATATGATGCAACATTTCATTGTTATATATGTAAGCTAGGAAATTCATGTTCCATTTATGAGGCCCAAGATTTGTTGTCTGGATTCCAAAGAAGTTTTCAAAGATTCTGAGAAACTCAATATTAATGATTTGTGAGCAAAACCGGATATTCAATTATTCAGGAAAAACAATCAGGTTAAGACGAATGCTGAAGCTTTTTCATGCCAGCATAAGCTTCACAAAGCCAGACAACTAGAAGCTAAGGTGGATGCCATAACAAACAGATGTGACCCATAATCAGTAACAAAAGGATCAGTTGCTTCCTCAGGCTGTATTGGACAAACACTACACAAGCTTTCTGGCTGGTTTCAAGCACTCCGTCCTCTCTATTTGAATTGGATCTTTTGAATGATCTGAGCCTCAAGTAGAAATAAAAGTATGAAAGAACAAAAGGAGTACCGTATTTTTCAGACGCACCTTAGTTTTTGGGGAGGAAAATAAGAAAAAAGCTGATTGGCAGGTGGATCAGCCTCCAGGAATACCCCCGATCAGCTGTTCCCAGAGGTGAATTTTAGCAACAGGTTCCTTGGTTGTGAGCTCTGGCCTTGCTTTTTTTTGCTTTTCTTTCTGCCTCTGAAACTTCTGAAACTCTGTTTCAGAAAAAACTTTTTCCTGTCCCTGAAAGCCTCCGAAACAGAGCTTCAGAAAAAAAGCCTCTGAAACTCTGTTTGGGGGCTTCTTTTCTGAAGCTCTGTTTGGGGGCTTTTTTTCTGAAGCTTCATTTCTGATGCTTTTTTCAGACTCTGAAACCTCCGTTTGAGAAGCTGGGCAAGGCTACATTCGGAGTATAAGACGCACCCAGATTTTCAACCTCTCTTTTGGGGGAAAAAGGTGCATCTTATACTCTGAAAAATATGGTAATCGTTAGAAGGAACAATTCGCGATATTGTAAAATGTCTTGACTGGTCATTAGATCTAGATTCAAACATTTATTCAGCTATAACATTCACTGGAAGTTGTGTAACATGAAAAAAGTAAGTGTGTACAGAATATATACAAGTCATCCTCAATTTACAACAGTCCACTGACTGACCATTCAAAGTTACAACAGTACTGGAAAACGTGATTTATGACTATTTTTCAGTTACAACCTTTGTAACATCCCCATGATCATGTGATAAAAATTCAGACGCTTGGCAACTGGTTCATACTTATAACCATTGCTGTGTCGCAAGATCATGTGATTTCCTTTTGCGACCTTCTGACAAGCAAAGTCAACGGGGAAACTGGATTCACTTAATGACCTGGTTACTAACCTATCAATCACAGTGATTCACTTAACATATGTGGCAAGAAAAGTCATAAAGTATGGCAAAAAAACTCACTTAACAAATGTCTCACTTAATAACAGAAATGTTGGGCTCAATTGAGATTGTAAGAATTATCTGTATTTTCTTCCCAAACAATGGCTGCTAGCAAGACTAAGACAAATGAACTTGCAGAGCAGAAGGAATTATTTCTACATACAAAAATAGGTGGTTTACAAGTTTTTAAATCAATTTTTAAGTCAGTCTAACTGCAAGTTTTTATTATTCAGCAAGTTTTCTATTGAACAATCAAAGTTGTTTAAGTTTATTACATACACCTGTATTAAACCCTCATGTCTGAATGTAATCTTCAATTAGGCAAAACAGTGCATCATAAGGCAACAATTTTTTGAATCAACATTAAAACATTCATCCAAATTCCAAAGAAAATCAATGGGGAAGCCAGCAGGTAGTGGAAGACGCTCCCATTGTTTTTTGCCTGCCCACGGTTATTCTGTTTCTCTGTTTAGATGCGGAAATATTCCTGAAACATTGACCCTATGGATCACAGATTCCTTAGTAAATTCTAGGGAAAGAGGGGAAAAAAGGCAAAACTGACTTGCCAACAACTCAAGGAATAGCAATCAGAATGGATGGTGACCAGCAACCAATGTCTGATTGTAAACTTGCATCTGTATGGAGTCTGCACTGTTAGCAGAAGACTTATGAAGTATGTCATCAGAATACATTTACAGTCACCTACGTGGTTAAATAAGAATCCAAATCTGACTCTCTACAGTTCTAATTCAACACTAAATTCATTGACTTAATATTTTCCAGGTTGTTTTTAAGCAATGTCTTGAAAATTAATTAATACGTTCCCATCCAAAAAAATTTCTTTATATCAACAAAAAAATGTGAAGTAAAAATGGCATAATTTCTGTACTGACGTTACATGTCTATATAAAGTAGTATATATGCCCATACATAAGTCATTGAGCTCAAGAAAGAAAATTGGAAGCTAAGACCTATCTTTTATACTCACATAGATTTAAATCCCTTTCTTTCTCTGACAGTTTGTCAGTTTTTGGATTTCAAGATGATTTCAGTGGGACTGTTAGAATAGCACTGCTAAGCTTTATTAATGTCATTCTTGGCAAATGAAAAAAGGTTACGTTCTTGTAAAATATAAATAACTCAAACATGATTTTAACAAAAAATACTCAGAAATTGAAAAATGCTAAAAGAAAATATGGCCCTTCAATTTTTCCTAAATTTTATCGCCAACTGCTTTTGAAATTTTAATCACATCTACATGAGTAGATCTTAAAACTTAGTATAAAACTTGTGCTGTTCTGAAGGAAATAAAGTGTTTCCTGGAAGTTTCAACTAAGTAAATAATGAAAAATTTGAATTTACTAAGCATATTTTAAGAATATTTAACTAGCTTCTCAGTATAATTGATCCTAATTGGGAAAAAACTACAGAGGAATTCAATGATTTAATTATAATTTATCTTTGTTGTAGTATATGTACCTGGAGAATTTTCTAGCTGTGTA